AAGTTGCTTGCTTTGTAATTTTCTTTCCTATTGATTACTTTCTTTTTTTTTTCTTTTTCTTTTTTAAGTCGGGGTCTCACTCTGTCACCCAGGCAGTGGCACAATGACTGCTCATCACAGCCTTGACCTCGTGGGTTCAGGTGATCCTTCCACCTCAGCCTCCCAAGTAGCTGGAACTACAGTGTGAGCCACCAAGCCCAGCTAATTTTTCTGATGTTTGTAGAGATGAGGTCTTACTATGTTGCCCAAGCTGATCTCGAACTTCTAGGTTCAAGCAATCCTCCCAAGCTGCTGGGATTACAGCCATGAGCCACCCCGCCTGGCCCTACTAGTTACGTCCTACTGCTGGATCCTTAACTACACTTGAAATATACCTTCCCCTTCAAATTAACTGTCTATCATCATGAGTTAATTCATGGATTCCCAAGTGTCACTCTTAGACAATGCCCTTATAATTCTGGGAGCATCTCACAGTAGCAGTCTCAGTGAAGAGCCTTGGCTCTGAGCCAGACTGCCTGGGTAGAAGCCCAGCCTTGTCACTTACCAGCCATGGGATTTTCCACAAGTTACTTAACTCCTTCATGCCTCAGTTTCTTCACATTGTTGTTTTGGAGAGTAACTGAGTAAACCATGCAAAAAAATAACCATAGTCTGGCACATGTGAATGCTTAATACATGTGAGCTGTTATGACGACTACTGCTTAATGTTTGTGAACTGTCAGGAGAGCAGGTTAGAAAGGAAAAGGGTTTAGACGATATTCATGTTTTAATTTACTTTAACCAATATCACTATCATCTGTGACTGTGTATGACATATACAGTAGGTCTAGGCACGTGGTAGGTTGACGCTTCGCCATCACTTAATTCAGAAGAAGCAAGTGCTACGGCTCCAGGCAGGGATGTTGAGTCAGGAGGGGCAAGTGTCTGGGGAGACAGAAGGAACACCTGCTCATTCCTGTGTGCTTTGTTTTGGTTTTAGAACCCAAACAAGCTGGGCTCGGTGGCTCAGCCTGTAATCCCGCGCCTTGGGAGGCTGAGGTGAGTGGATTGCCTGAGCCCGCAGGTTCGAGACCTGCCTGGGCAACTTGGCGAGACCGCATCTCTACAATAAATCAAAAAATCAGCTGGGCGTGGTAGTGTACACCTGTAATTCCGGCTACTCGGAAGGCTGAGGCGGAAGGATCACCGAAGCCCAGCAGGTTGAGGCTGCGGGGGCCGGGAGTGGCCACTGCACTCCAGTCTGAGCGCCTGAGACTCCAACTCAAAAAAAAAAAAAAAAAAGAACCCAAACAAGAAATCCCACACAAATGTCAGATCCCTGGTGTGGACTCCCCCATCATCACCAGAACATTTGTTGAAGGCACTTATCTGAGTCTTACCCATCTTTCCCAGGAGGTGCCCAGCCCCTGCTTCCTGCACAAAGCCTCTGGAATGCCTCCTGCCGTCGTCGTGTTGGAATTCCTATAGCCCCTTAGAATCAGCGCTGCCCTGACAGGCTCAACTCATTGCTTTCCTTGTGGTGTTATTGCTTTTTTTTTTTTTTTTAGATGGGATCTCACCCACGGCATGCCCATGCTGGAGTGCAGTGGCAGGATCACACCTAACCTCTGACTTGACCTCCTGGGCTCAGACGATCCTTCCACCTCCACCTCCCAAGTAGTTGGGACTACAGGGGCATGCCACCATATGCAGCTAATCTTTATGTTTTTTGTAGAGATGGGGGTCTCACTTTATTTCCCAGGCTGGTCTCAAACTCCTGGCCTCAAGCAGTCCTCCTTCCTTGGCCTCCCAAAGTGCTGGGATTACAGGTGTGATCTACCATGCCTGGCCATTGTTACTTATTTTTGCATAGATGACCTATCTGCCTATTTGGACAGAAGCCTCATGGGGCCACACATCAAGCATAGTGCCTTACATATAACAGTTGCTTATTTAATTGATAGCCGTATCTGTGCACAGATATGGGCATTATAATTTCTATTCTTTCTCTTTTTTTTTGAGTTGGAGTCTCACTCTGTCGCCCAGACTGGAGCGCAGTGGCCGCTCCCGGCCACCGCAGCCTCGACCTGCTGGGCTCCGGCGATCCTTCCGCCTCAGTCTTCCAAGTAGCTGGAATTACAGGCGTGTGCTACCACGCCTGGCTAATTTTTTTATTTATTGTAGAGATGAGGTCTCACCAAGTTGCCCAGGCAGGTCTCGAACCTGCGGGCTCAGGCAATCCACTCACCTCAGCCTCCCAAAGCACAGGATTACAGGCTGAGTCACCGAGCCCAACTTATAATTTCTATTCTTTTAAAGATAATGTGTGTGTGTGTGTGTGTGTGTGTGTGTGTGTGTGTAAAATACAGTGTGTATAAAATAAAGAGCAAGCTCAGGGAAATCACGTATACTTTTCACTTTCACTTTCAGAAGTAGAATGATCAGTTGCCCTTAAGAGGAAGGAACTTTACAAATAGTCTATTTTTCTTGCATCTTTTTAGAGTGGCGGCATCATCAGATGGCAAGAGCTCAGGTGTTAAAGGCAAAACTGTGCCAAATGCGATCTCTGCCACTTAGTAGCTGCGTGACCCTGGGCATCTCACTTAGCCTCTGTGAGTGAGCCTCAATTAACATGTTAGTAAAATCTACTATGTAGAAATATTATTATACCCATTCGTGTTCTTAGAGAATTTGATCCCAAACATAGTTAACCCTCAGATAATGATAGCTATTTATTAGGTCCCTAACATTAAAAAATAATAGTAATAAACCTTAGGAGATAGGAAAGATGGCATGAACAGAGCTTGTATTATTTTGATCTGTAGATCATGCGCAAATACCTTGGTTGCCTCTAGGATAAATCTACTGGAATCTCACACTTGAGCCCAGTACTCAAGGATCTGTCTCATGTTACCTGTCTTTCCCTACTGGAAGCTTCCATGCTGGCTCTAACTGGAGGATACTTGGTCAGCACATAGGGGCTCCCCTGATACTTGCCACCCCTGGCCTGGAATTCCCTATATTGCATCAACTGCCCAGATCTCACCTTCTAGGCCAGCTCGAAGTCATATCCCACTGCCCAGCAGCTCTGCCTGCTGAGACTGGCATGCAGTGCCCTCCCTGCCTCTGAACTCCTGCGCTTGCACTCCTCCTGATGTCCCTTTGGCACTTGTTACATTCACTTTTATTGAGTTTGTTTGTTTGTTTTTATATGCATAGATTTCTGCCCAGTTGGAATAGGACCACACTTAACTCTCCTACCTTTTAAGATTTATTGCAAAGTACAGTGCATATACAAAAGAACCATACCAAAAAATGTGCAGTGTTTTAAAATCCCCTTTACACAAGTTAAGAAAGGGAACACAACCAGAATCTCAGAAGCCCCTTTTTGTCCCTTGGCCAGCATAACTTCCCCTCTTCCCAAGAGGAAACCAGATCATGAAAGTTATAGTGACTACAGCTTTCTAACCTTTAAACAGCACCTTTTCCCCTTTACTTGCCTTTATGTAAGTGGAATCATATGTAAGAAATTCTATTTCATTGGTTTATTTTTTCAACATAAATATTTTTAAAATTCATCTATTTGCTGCATGATGTGTTTAGCTGTAGTTCATTCATTTTAGATTGTATTACATTGTATGAATAAACCAGAAGTTTTCCCTGTAAAAAAAAAATAGAATGGAAAAATAATGATAACCAAGTAGTTTCTTATGTGTTGACCCAGCTCTGATAGTCTCCGCTGGGTTTGGAGCCAGGCCCCAGGTTTGATCCAGATCTGTTCCAAGTTTCTCATTCTTCCGGAAGCAGCAGGCTACCCAGGGCACATTCTTTTGCTGGCAGAAGTTGCAATTTCTCAGGGAGGGTGAACCGAAACAAGTAAGCAGTGCTTCTGTTAGGCACACTGTCACTTCTGCTCACATTCCCTTGGTCAAGTCAAGCCACATGACTGTGTCCAATGTCAGGTGGGAAGGTGTCCTCCCTTGAGGAGGCTGGAAGAAGTGGACACTTGCTGAGCAAAAACCGAATCTACTAACATATGGTGGGGGGCCCCCCTCCAAAAATCTAGAATTATTTCTTTGGAGGGCAGGCCTCTTGTAGTGCAGGCTTCCCCCCCACAAGGTAAGTGTTCTAGCAATCCATCGGTATTGGTGTACCAGCTAGTGGTGTTGTGAAAGGCTGCGTTCAGCTTCAGTGAATTTTTTTTTCTGGAGATTCTTTCAGTGCATTTGTCCATTTCATAATGGGTGGTTTACAAGCGCACCGCCTACACCCTGCTGATGTTCAGCAGTTTTCGCCCCAAAACAGCATGACCCCCCTGCCCCACCCTCCCTATTCACCTGTTCTCACTTGAATGACTCCCCATGAAGAAAGTCCTCTAAGGGAAACATTTTGCTGATGTGAAAGAGGTGAAACAAAAAAATGGCAGAAACACTAAAAGGCATTCAAAGTGACAGGTTCAAAAACTGTTCTGAGCAGTAGAAAAAGCATCTCAATAGGTATATTGCAGAGTACTTTGAAGGTGACTGAAGTTTAAACGTAAGAATAAATACACAATTTAAAAAAATAAAATCCAGTTTTGGGGAATCCCCCCCTTGAATGGCCATCTGGATTGTTTCCGGTTTATGACTATTTCAAACAGTGTTGCTACTGTGAACATTTTGACTGTGGCAAGTGTGCAAGAGCTTCTTGAGGGTACATGCCTAGGAGCTGAGTGGCTGGGTTGCAGCACCACAGTTGTACTTTTCCTCTTCACCATGGATTGCTGCTTCGGTGTTGCCTTGAACCACTGCTGCTTCTGCATTTTTGTGTGTATTTAGCACACGCTTGAGTAAGTATCCAGCTCACAGTTTCACAGTGAGCTCAGTTTCTTGTTCAACCCATACTGTAGGACAGAAGGTGCACCATTAAGGCTACAGAAAAAAGTGCTGGTTTTTTTTTGTAATTTTATTTTAAAGATGTGGGGTACCTTTTTGTCAGTGCCCATAATCCACTAACCATTTCAACTTGTGCTCACTCGGCAGGTTTGGTGCAGGTGCCAAAGTTGTGCATTTCCTGGGACGAGTCAAACCATGGAATTATACGTATGATCCCAAAACAAAAAGTGTCAAAAGTGAGCCCCGTGACCCCACCGTGACTCATCCAGAGTTTCTCAACCTGTGGTGGGACATCTTCACCACCAGTGTTTTACCTCTGCTTCAGCAATATGGCCTTGTCAAAGACGCCTGCTCATACCTAAATGTGGTAGGTTTGGTTTTTTTCTTCCAGATAGCTGAATGCTGCCTTTTGAAAAACTTGTTATGTTGATAGAGATGGGGAATATTTAGCGGCATTTTAAACAAATAAATATAAGATTTTGTAGAAAGAAAATAATAACCATCTTATGGGGAGAAATATTACCAGCAAAAAAAAAAGAAAGAAAGAAAGAAAGAAATTATGGGGCAAATTTTATTAGATCTGAGAACATAAGAAAGGTTTTTAGAGTTTTGTATATACACCCGTATATTGCAGCTATAAAATTCTTAGCCCCTTGTCCTATGAACAGATTCTGAGATTATTCCTAAAGTAGTAGCCTATGAAAATAAAAATGTTTTAGAAACTGCAAACATTTAGATAGTTATATTTTGTATGTGCCAGAAGATATGTTTTAGAGCATGTATCTTAGAAAATGTGTTTTCAGTGAAAATCACAAGAACGTGAACATACAATAAATACTTTTGTAGGATTATTTTGATGTCCTGTATTTCTACTCTTATGATTATACAGGATCTTGGAAAAACAGTGTCTTTGTAGGAGGGAGATGACTTGTTTATATTTTTAGTAACCCTCTTTAGCATCTTTTCTGACTTTAAAGATCCTCTTCTGAGGTTTGTTCTTATGAAAGAATTAGAAGAGGATGAGAATTAAACTGTTATATGTTACATACTGAGATACAAAGAATGGAACTGAATGGATGAATTATAATCAGATAATCAGTAATTACCTGACTATAAGAAATTATGTTATAAGAGTCTTCTCTTTTCCATGGTATAGATTTCACCATTTCATTTATTAGCATTTTTACCAAAATGTAGAAGAGAGAGAGAAATAACACTTGCTTTTTTTTGAAGACAGATGAGTCTCACTCTGTTGCCCAGGCAGCAAAGCAGTTCACTGCAGCCTTTAATGCTTGCTCCTGGGGTCAAGCAATCCTCTTGCCTTCAAGTTCCCAAGTAGCTAGTAGTACAGGCACACACCACCACACCCAGCTACATTTTTTTTTTTTTTTAAATAGATGAGGTCTCGCTATGTTGTCCAGGCTGTTATCAAACTCCTGGGCTCAAGCGATTCTCCTGCCTTGGCCTCCCAAAGTGCAAGGATTATAGGCATGAGCCAATATGCCTGGCATTAACACTTGTATTCTTACTCTGTCCCATTTTTAGAGAAAAATTAACTGAGGATTTTAAAAACTGATGTAACTTAGTTGTGTAACAACAGACTAGTCAAGTAATAGAATGGGACTCAAACTCAGGTCTGAGAGACTTTATCCTTATTAAAATTTGATATGGACCTTGTGAAAGTGTTTTTCTGGCTGGGCGCAGTGGCTTAGCCTGTAATCCCAGCACTTTGGGAGTCCAAGGCAAGAGGATTGCCTGAACCTGGGGGTTTGAGACCAGCCTGGGCAACTTGGTGAGACCTTGTCTCTACAATAAATCACAAAAACTAGCCGGGCATGGTAGCAGGCATCTGTAGTTCCAGCTACTTGGAAAACTGAGACAAAGAGTGAGACTGTAACTCCAAAAGAAAAAAAAAAGTGTTCTTCTACTGCCTAGAATTAGGAGCAGCACTTCTTATGATAGGGGATGGAAGAGTTACACTTTATTTGTTTTGTATTCTGTCACCCAGACTGGAGTGCAGTGACACAATCGTGGCTCATCACAACCTTGACCTCTTGGGTTCAGCTGATCCTTCCACCTCAGCCTCCTAAGTACTTGGACCATAGGCACATGCCACCAAACCTAGCTAATTTTTTTAAAAAATTTTTGTAGAGACAGGGTCTCACTGCATTACACAGGCTGGTCTAAAACTCCTGGCTCAAATGATCTTTCTGCCTCAGCCCCCCAGTGTACTGGAATTATAGGCATAAGCCACTATTCCTGGCCAAGAAGTTACACTTTAAATGTTGAACTACTTAACCTTGGGGTCCTCTCATAGGGAAGGTCACTGTAAATTCCCAGCCCCCATATTGTGAACAGAGGACTCTGGAAATGTCTCCCTACATCATTTTTGTTGCAAGTAGAAGGCAAAGGCAGGACTTGTCCAATGGAAGGACTTTGTTATGTTGCCTCAACTATCATACAATCCTATACCCAAACACCTTGAAATTCCAGTATATTTAATACATATGTATATCCTTATGTTTACATATATATGGCAACAAAAACAGGTAATCAAAAATTGTTTCTACCATTCTCTGTTAAAAGCAATACCTATTTGCCTTCATTCACATGGCTTTTTCTCTGCTAAGATTTCCAGTATCTTACCTTAGAGCTTTTTGAAGGGTAGTGTTGGTATTCTTTTATGGTACACTTGAAGCTGTTGCCTATCTACGTAATGAGAATCCGATTTCACGTAGCGTAGGTGGCTCTGTTTGCTGCATGTTTACCTTGTTCCTTCTGCAACGCAAGGGCTGAGAATCATGAACCAAGGAAAGATGAAGATGGGAGTTGAAACAGCTGTTCCAGCTAAGCAAAGTAAATTAACAGAAGCTATACAAGAACCGGTGCTACTTAGTAATCCAGGCAGGACAGTTTGGTCCGGTCTCAAGCCGTTTAGCTTCCCTTCTTATGGTGTGGTAACTTGCACGTGTTGCGGCTCTCTGGTTAGGTTCTTTCTGAAACATAGCCTCTGAGGTATCCTTTTGTTTAAGTTCTCAACCTTTCAGAGCCCACACAGATTGAGAATTGATCTTGAGACTGTGTGCCCTTGTCCATCCATCTTACACTTTCTAATGAACTGTTTGCAGCTTTCAGACTTGGTCTATACACTGGCTTTCTCTTGTGGCTTCTGTAGAAAGGTATGCAGAACTTAAACATTAACCCTAATTACTTTGTTCTCCCAATGTTTTCACTGAGTCAAGAAGTCTTCATTTTGTTAGGAAAAAAAAATCATATGACCCTTATATTTTTGTGTCCTTTGTTTGTTTCATGTAATACTTTTCAGTTTTTTTGCTACTTTGCATGATAATTCATCCTGGCTTTTCTCATCATCTTCAATTTATTGCATTCTGTAAAATGGTCTGATTTTCAGCTCTCCAGGAGTCTGATTATGCTCTCCTTTCTAGGAAGGTGTCTCAGGAGCCATAGCACACCTGTCCCTCGGGGAGCTTCCAGCTACGGCACAGCCTTTTGTATCCTCAGAAGAACGGAAGGAACGGTGGGAACAGGGCCAGGCTGATTATATGGGAGCAGATTCCTTTGACAACATCAAGAGGAAACTTGACACTTACCTCCAGTAGGAACACTGCCATTTTCCTGTGGACACATCTACTTCACAGGCATTTGTTTCTGATACTTAGTATCTAGAACTGGGTTGAGAAGTCTGTTACAGTTGCTAGAGGCTTTCACTAAAACTCACCAGATGAGGGGTTTTTGCAGAACAGGGGAAAACTGGGCAAAAGGTGTTAAATAGCAGTTTTGTTACATGGAAAGTGTTCTGCTCTTTAACCCTAGACTTATTTAGCTCGTGATTCAGAAATTCTCAGTTATGCTGATTGCCAACATACGTGGAAAAGGAAAGTCAGTATTAAGCTGTTAAAAGATGGCTATATCAGCTCTTAAAGTGTGCACAGCCAGGCTTCACACTGGTCTCTCCCTTGAGAACAGGACATGGCCCCCGTCCCTTGCTTGCTCTTGTACCAACCATTCACTAGATCTGCATTTTAGAATTGCCCAGTGCTGCCAGAGTGATAATTCTGCTTTCAAGTAAAAACAGCCTACAGTAACACTGTTGAGTGATTCATAAACATACCAACAAATGGCGTTAACTCACTTTATTTCTTAGTGTCTGAAGATAGTCACCAGTTTTCTATGTACAGTTAAGGCAGCATGCTAAAATGCTTTTGTTCAGTTCTGTATATTTGAAAATAGTGGTATGTTCTCTGATGGTTACCTGCAGTGGCACCCTGTATGAAAAATAAAGACTTACTGCCATATCTTGGTTGCTTAATTAAATGAAGGTTTCCTCCCACACCCTTGAAAATAGCCTACTAGAGAATTTTCCATAATTTCTGGAATTTGTCATAGTTTCACAAAATTGTATAAACCTTGACACTAGGCTATATTCTTTAAAAACTGGTATCTAAGAGATTCAAATCTAATGTTCTCCACTGGTGGTGATGGATCTAACAGACTGGAAGAAAATGAGAGCAAATGTATACAGTCTGTCTTTGCATTTCCATAGTAAGTGGGTATGCAGATATGTAGAACATTATAACCTTAAAATTATTCAGGATCAGTACTGGACCCAGAGCCTTCTAATGTTTTTATCCTTATATAGTTTAAAATGACAGCATGGAAGTATAAAGCATATTTATTAACTTTACAGATGATTCTGGGTTGTAAGAGATGCAAGCTAGGGAAAGTTAGGATCCAAATTGAGGAGAACAGGAAGAGCAGACTATCCCTGTTTTTCAGGTGCTGTGGTACAAAGACCTCTCAGAATAATTTTGACTCATCAGAACCCTTTTTGGCTTCTGGGTCCCTGGTTGAGATGAACAGAAACCTAGTCTTCAGATAAATAACACTGCCTTATTTTTGTGACCATATTGTATTTACCAGTTTTGTTCCCTAGTTTTTACATAGTAGTTTAAGAGATAAAGCTCTAAGATGAAAAGTTTACATAATTTTTAAATTTTAAATAAGTATTTAGTGAAGGCTCTTGACTTTTGGAATCAGAAACAATAACAATTTTACTATAGGAAACAGCATATAATGGTGCCGAGTTATGTAGCAGCGAAGCTCCCAAATAGCTGATTCTTTTCCTTCCCTGATCTTTCAAGGGCTGTCTTAGTTAAGGTGAAGTATTAACTTTTCAATGCAAGATTACACAAATTATACTGCAAAATCTTTTCTAGGGAGCCCAAAAGACTAAGGGTTACTTAGTAATATGTTAAAAAGGTAACAACTCAAAGTATAAGACATACATTTGTGGAGGTGATCTAATATATACTTAGTTTTTTTATACCTCTGTGAAAAATGGTGGGATAACCTTTGGTCATGAGACAAACTTGCCCACACAAAGATCAAATCCGTGCCTTTGAGAATTAGCTTCATGCTTGATCAGTCTATGATTTATGCATAAACCAAATATTTATCTTGATTCTCCTTACACCTGTGTTTTTCTATTAGACTATACCTTTTGCAAATATTTTAAAGATAATGTGTTAAAAACTTAAGATTAAAATATGAGCTAGCCTGGGAAACTTGATAAGACCTTGTCTCTACAATAAATCAAAAAATTATCTGGGCATGGTGGCGCATGCATGTAGTTCCAGCTACTTGGAAGGCTGAAGTGAAAGGATCACCTGAGCCCAGCAGGTCAAGGCTGTGGTGGCCGTAAGCGTGCCACTGCCCTCCAGCCTGGGCAACAGAGTGAGACTGCAACGCAAAAAAAAAAAAAAAAATTAAGTAGTTGTTATAAGCCAAACATCCAATCTGTCCTTCTGATTTTAGCAAATCTCACCCACATGCTAAAATGAATAGAACTTTGACAAGTACTATAAGTAAAACAAAGAAAAAATAAACCAATGTCTTTGATGTTCTCCAACATAAAGCATACACTGCCTGAGGATAATTTCATTAGCACTCACTGGCAACGAACTACATAGGATTATTTTCTTGATTAACTGCTTCCAATTTTAAGGGAAAATCTCCAATGATCCAGAGTGCTACCTGTGTATACAGGTATTATCACAACTTTTTTTAGATGAGGAAATTAAATGGAACCAATATTTTTAGATCAAGGCATTTAAAATAAACACTGATTTCTGAACAAGAAATTCAATATGAACAAAATAAAGGTGGGATATGAGTAAATTACTCGGTTATAGTACTCCTTACATACTGTCAAGACATAATGTAAACACTTTCTCAGAAACATATTTAATGAAAGATTTTAAAGAGAAAGTAGTAAAATTATGGCACTGAAGAAGTAAACTTTTGAAATTTTTATTGATTTTAAATTTAAAACAAAATCCAGTTTGAACCACAAAATTCAGTTTGAAACACAAGTGGGAATACAATGTCTATAATATATTTCTAAAGCTATTATTCTATATAATAATAAAACAGAATTAACAGCATAGCATAATATGAAATTTTCATTCCAGTGGTCTATATATTTTCTTAGGGACAAATTTTTTTTAGTTTAACAACATCTAATAGAACTGTACAAAACAAAGATTGTTTAAACAACTTGCCAAACCTATTATGAATGTGTTTTAAAACACAACTCTGTAAAAGTCTGGGTAAAGAAGCAAGCTGTCCTCCTTTACAGTGAGTTTGTAAGGCTTTGCCTTTGTAAGCAAGAAGGAGTAGGTCATACTGGTTTTTGCCAAGAACCGTCTACACTTCCTCTTACTGGAGTGTTGGTATATAGAGAACCCATATTCTGATCAACCTGATTTTTCTGTGCAATGCTAGACCTACAAGGTTTCCACTGCTACTACTGCCCGTGGAGCAACCCCAAGTTGTTACTTCATATTCATCCCTGCATAAGGTCCTAGTCTTGATGAAAATAAGCCCTCTGCCTCACCTGCTACTGCCTCAAAAAGGGACTGGGAAAACTCCTGCTAGCTTACTCACTGTTCCCTTTGAGCAAGAAATGGCACAGGCAGAGAAGGACTCAGGTGGTGAGAGATTTGGCATATACCTTAGATGTGTACCCTATAACACACCTCTGCCTCCAATCTCATCTTTCAGTCAAGTCACTTTTAATGTTATCAGTAAAATCTAAGGCATTCTTGAATCTGTATCTTCAAACATGAAGCTTCTCTTGTTACAGTAATCTTCCTTTGGAGTTAAATAAAAAGTTTCTCTTAAAGAAACAAAATCACTGACTACCTAACCTGATTGGTCAATTTCTAGCTTATGTGCCCTAAAGGGTCCAGAAGAATTCTGCAACTACTATGAATTTGCTTATTAATAAGAAAAGGACGACTGACCTATAGACAGATGTAAGAATGAATTACTGAAGTTCCAAAATCAAGTTCTGATTCTAAACACACATGACAAAGAAGTTTTTACATTCAGGATAAGATATAAGATGTCTTTAAGAGTTGCAACGACTTTGGAGGTCATCCAGCCCAACTTCCATCCAGATATCACGCCTCTCACATATAGTAGTCTTCTGAATTATAAAAATTTATAAAGTTATTTCCAAAAAAAGCTACATAAATAAAAATTATCTATTTATAGAAATATCTATTTAGCAGTTCCATAATTTAAATATTCAAATCAAATTGGGTAGAATTGGTTTCCTCTCACCCCCAGACTGTATTTACACCTTAAACATATCAAGTTACATTTAAACAATGAATGTACTACCACTTGACTCAAACAGTGTTCTAACATAATCCCTAATTTTTTCATGAACATAAAACTGCAAGTCACTTATGAGAATTATATCTTAATCTAGCTGTTAAAAAAATTGCAAGTAACTTGCTAACCTGGACTTTGGTCTCTCATTTAAGGTTTGGCTCTGGAATGCAAATACGGTTTTAGAAAGTCCAATAAAATAGATCTTTGTATAGTCTGTATATATTCGTTGTTTACAAGGACTGTAGACACTGCATCACAAATCGGAAGCTTTGGTGAACAACTAAATGTGTTCAACATAGAAAATAACTATTTGGTCAAAAGTATAAAAGGTTTGACCTTATTTGAAATATGAAAAAGCTGAGTATTTGGTAGATATATGAAAATACTCAGCATTTACTATGAAAAATTGAATAAGAAAGTAACTTTTTTCCTCAAAAAATTATTTTAGGCCACAGTATATAATGAAACTTATTGCTATTTGAAGTATCATTAAAAATAGGCTCATCTACAGGAAAGATTATGTGTCAGTAATACCTCATCACTAATATAAAATATGCCCCATTCAGAAGACACATTTTCTAGATTTCTCATTTCTAAAACTTACATATCTGATCAAACTGACCTTACTAAAATCCCACAAATTATAAATCAATTAAAGTTTTGATTTCGTTTATCTTAGCTTGTTTCATTTCATTAGCATTTGTTTTTTTAGTTCCAAAAGCTCCTGCTGCAAGTTCCCTCTTTGTGTTCTGTATTTTCAGCATATTTTCTTCAACAGAGTCCTTCACAATGAACTTTAAAAAGAAAAAAAAAAACATTAACTTGGTTAAGAACTTTTTAGAGCACAGTATTTTAAATCTTTAATGTAAAGAAAAAATCCTACTAAGAAAACTAAATGAACAATTAATGAGAAACACAATCGATAAATATGCTAACAACACTGACTACTAAAAACAAAAATGAAACTTTGAGACATGAGAATGCTCATAAAGGAAGTTACATTCTTGCAAGTATTAATGTAGCTTTCAAGAAGGAGCAATAATTCGAAACTGCTTAGATCTTTTTTCTCAATATACACTGAGAATATTTAGTATATAATGTAACTATAGTTGAGCACTGCTTTCCTGTATCACCCAATATGGGTTGCTTAATATAAAGAATGTGGCTGTAAGGACAGAAGTTACAGATCATCAGATAAGAACAGCAACAAAAAAAGCAAATTACATAGGCAACTCTAAATGACTTTAGCATTGTATGAAAAAAGCCAAGTGAGAAATTATTCTTTATCCAGTATAATTCATAAACTAACAAGGAAAAAAATAAACATGATCATCTCATTATTCATAATACAGACTTTCATTTAAAAAATCCTCATTGAACTAGGAATAAAATGTCTCAACCTTTTTAAGAACTTCTACTAGAAACAACACATTGAATATAAAACAATGAACATATCCCCCCCCAAAAAAACCAGAAACAAGTAAAGAATTATCATCTCTACTACTATTCAACATTGCATAAAAAGTCCCAGTTACTGCAATAACTAAAGAAGATGTAATACAGAATGTTACTAAAATACACAGAAGATCTAAATAAGTGGAGAGAGATACTATATCTATGTTCCTATATGGAAACATTCCTTATTTATAAAGACAGTTCTCAAAGTGATCATAAAAATCAACAGATCTCAAACAAGATTTCTTATATGAAATTTGATGACCTAAATCTAAAGTCCAAGAGTAATAATAAAAATCAATACACGTTTCAAAAAGAAGGGTAATGAGAACACCTCACCCTATCAGACATTAAAACATGCTTTAAAAAAACCACCGTTCCCTTTTTTTTGTTTTTTTTAAAGAGACAGGGTCTCGCTGTGTCACCCAGGCTGGAGTGCACTGGCACGATCATAGCTCCCTGCAACCTCATACTCCTGGGCTCAAGAGATTCTTGCACCTCAGCCTCCTAAGTAGCTGCAACAATAAGCACCACAGGCCACCATAGCTGGCTAATTTTTTTTTTTTTTTTTTTGTAGAGATGGGATCTCCTGTGTTGCTCAGGCTGATCTCAAACTATTGGTCTCAAGTGATACTCCCACCCCAAATGTTGGGATTACAGGCATGAGGCACCAAGTCTAGCCTAGAAAACCAGTTATTATAGGGGACAGGGAAACACCTCTTATCAACAGGGTGCCTGAATGGAACGTAATTGTACACCTAACCCTTAACTGTACCCCACAACATCATAATAAGAAATATTCAAAAAAAAAAAGTAATATTGCCTGAGAAAAGGAAAGAAATTAATAGGACAGAACAGTCTTGAAAGAGACCCAAGTAATATATGTGAATTAGTTTATAACAAAGGTGACATTTCCTATTAGTAGAAAAAAAGATATTTTTTAAAGATTGTGACAGAAGCCGGGCATAGTGGCACATGCCTATAATCCCAGCATTTTGGGAGGCGAAGGTGAGAAGATTGCCTGAGCTCAGGGGTTCGAAACCAGCCTGAGCAACATGGTGAGACCTTGTCTCTACAATAAATCAAAAAATTAGCCACGCATGGTGATGCATGCTGTGGTTCCAGCTACTTGGAAGGTTGAGGTGGAAGGATCACCTGAGTCCTGCAGGTCGAGGCTGCAGTGGCTGTGAGTATGCTACTGCACTCCAGCCTAGGTGACAGAGTGAGACTCCAACTCAAAGAAAAAAAAATTGTGACCCACACCACAAATCACAAATAAAACCAAAAATAAAATCTTCCAAAAGAATCAAAAGTGAATATAGAAAAATATCCTAAGACCCTAAAACCTAAAAGCTATAAAAAAGTCTGACATGTTTTAAGTCATAAAAATTGTAAAGCTTTTTAATGACAGAAAACTCAAAATTTAAAGACAAGAAAGAGGCCAGGCGTAGTGGCTCAAGCCTGTAATCCCAGCACTTTGGAAGGCAGAGATGAAAGGACTGCCTAAGCCCAGGGGTTCGAGACCAGCCTGGACAACTTGGCAAGACCTGGTCTCTACAATAAATTTAAAAATTAGCCAGGAGTGGTGGCACGTGCATGGAGTTCCAGCTACTTGGAAGGCTGAGACAGAAAGATCATCTGAGCCCAGCAGGTCAAGGCTGTGGTGGTTGTGAGTGTGCCACTGCTCTCCAGCTCCAGCCTGGGCAACAGAGTGAATCTCTGACTCAAAAAAAGAAAAACAAGGATGAGCTGGGGATAAACCATTTCCAACAAGCATAAGCAAAAGATTTAAAATCAGGCTGTAAAAATGCCAAGTCTATGGCATCTGTCAAAGCATTGGTCTTTAGCAGCAGGATTCCAAGCCTAAGGAGAACGAACATGAGTTGTTTTATTAATGCCCTGATCGGTGAATGTTTTGCATTTGCATTAGTCCTTTCATTTCAGCATTATCCATGCCGTTTTTTCTGACTGAACATGTTCTGCCTGAATTCAAATACTGACATCACAAAAGATTTAAAATCAGGCTGTAAAATGAGGCTGTAAAAAGGCTATGAAACCTTGGCAAAAAATATAAATAAACAATTCACGGGGGGAAAAAAATGAATGACATGAAATATGCTCAAAGTTTTTGGTAAATGCAAATTGGAATAGCACTTTTTTGACCACATAAGCATAAATATACATTATTTTCATACACCATAAAGCCTGTTTTGAAAGCAACTCAACAATTATCTAATAAATTTTAAATCCAGAACTCTAGTTTTCTTAACTATCCTGAAGAAATACTTGTATATATGCACAATGCTCATTATGGTACTGTTTTTATTAGCAAAAAATTGGACTGGTGAAGTAAATTTTGATGTGTCTACATGGGTTTGTAGAATAGTCAAATCTGTAAAGAAAGAAACTAGAATGGTGGTTGCCAGCGAATAGGGGAAAGAGGGACGTTATTTAATGGGTACAGAGTGTCTGTCTGAGGAGATGAAAACATTCTGGAGATGGATGGTGGTGATGGTAGCACAACACTGTGAATGCACTTCATGCAACTGAACTGTACACTTTGAGATGGCTAAAATGGCAAATTTTGTTATGTAGGTTTTACTGCTATTTAAAAAAAAAGTGTTTATCTAAATTTACTTATAAGGTAGTCTCCAGTGTATAGTTTTAAGGAAAAAATATGTTGCAGAACAACGAAATATAATCCTATTTTAAAATAAATGTCTTTAAGGAGAGAGGTATACATAAATATAAACATATATAACTAACTATAGGGAAAGGGCCCTTAAATGGCATATATTAAACTATCGGTGGAGGAGAAAAAAGGTGACATATTTTGCGCTGCATAATCCCACTTCAACCATTATTATAATAATGTATTCATGCATTACTTGTACAATTTAAAAAGCCTTATCAATCTAATCTTGAAATAGATGGTTTTGAAACTCACTTTTGTGATGATAACTTCTTGCTTCTGGCCAAGTCTATGGCATCTGTCAAAGCACTGGTCTTCAGCAGCAGGATTCCAAGCCTAAGGGGAACATGAGTTGTTTTATTAATGCCCTGATAGGTGAATGCTTTGCATTTGCATTAGTCCTTTCATTTCAGCATTATCCATGAAGTTTTTTCTGACTGAACGTGTTCTGCCTGAATTCAAATACTGACATCACAAATACACTAAAGAAAAAAATCCACCTTCCCAATCACTACATGATAGACAGGCATTTCCCCACCATAATTTCTCTTCACTACTTCTACTACTGAATCCTGGTATGTGTTAGCACCCAAAATGAATATTTGTTGACTAATCAATTTCTGCTTAACAGTTTACATAACTTACCTTATGACTTAATTTACCTAGAAAAGTTATGCAATGCTTGGGCCCAACTATGAAAAAGTTTTCTCCCTTTTTGCTGGTCTTTGGGTTCTTTTTCTTTCACTTTCCTCTACTCATGAAATAAAAGTATAAAAAAAGTTTCAGGATTAGTCAGAAGTCCTAAAAATTGTTTAAGACTTTGTTGATGCAATTTTCTGCATTTGAAATCAGTTTGATTTCAAAAAGCTAAAAAGGAACATTAGCTAATTAACATAGACATTATAAGGGCTGTCTTAAGCTGAAGAATAAAATAGTGAAGCAATGAAAAAGGAAGAATAACCAGAAGATAGCATGTTAGTATAAAAAGTTTGTAAGTGACTTTTAAGTAATCATGAATCATTGGGATAAGGATCATTAAATTATAAATAAAAACTATGAGAATGATTCTTGAAGCTGAAAACAGGGTATTTTGTGGTTAAGAAACATTTATTTACACAGCAAAGTACCAGCTGAAGATAGAAACAAAACCACAGATGCATATGTAGATCTATAGTATGATATATATACTTAGGCTATTTTTTTCTTTTAAGTTCCCTTGAGGTCTAGGAAAAAGGAAGATTTTGCTATTAACTTTCTGTGATTTCAGTTTTGGGTTCTTTTTTAGTATGAAAGTTAGATTTTAAGGATATACTTAAGCTTATGCTTTTCTAAAACTGACAGATGCCACATTTTGTGACTATTTTGTAATTTCACAATTAGACACATTTTTAAATCTTCATACCGAGAGACCATGTTAAATACTTATTCAATTTCCTGTATTTTATCCAGGAACCTCATGACAAGCTGGCAATATACATAGTTTGACTACCAGAAATCCAATTTATGTTATATCAAATGGATAGCTCCCATATCATATATAGTAATTAAGGAAGCAATTAGCTTCATCAAAAGCTCATAACAGACATCAAAATATCACCCTAACATTTATACAGTACTCCAGGAAAATGTAAAAAAAAAAAGCCAGGGAGGGAGGATCACTTGAGCTCAGGAGTCGGAGACCAGCCTGGGCAAAATAGCAAGACCTTGTCTCTCTCTCTCTCTTTTTTTAAAGCAGAATTTATTAAGAGAACAGAAAAGCTCCAAGAGTGGGAGGGGACCCAAGGGGGTTGCCCAAGACGTCACTTAAAAAAAATTTTTTTCCCTAAGATTTTCATAAGCTAAAATTTTTCTTTTTCTTTTTTTTTTTTTTGAGTTGGAGTCTCACTCTGTCTCCCAGACTGGAGTGCAGTGGCCGCTCCCGGCCACCGCAGCCTCGACCTGCTGGGCTCCGCAATCCTTCTGCCTCAGCCTTCCAAGTAGCTGGAACTACAACGCGTGCTACCACGCCTGGCTAATTTTTTGATTTATTATAGAGATGAGGTCTCGCCAAGTTGCCCAGGCGGGTCTCAAACCCGTGGGCTCAGGCAATCCACTCACCTCAGCTTCCCAAAGCACAGGATTACAGGCTGAGCCACCGAGCCCGGCTAGCCAAAATTTTTCTAATGGAATCAATTTTTCTGTGACCTGACTTGTTTTAGAAGTTAGAAACATTGGAAAGCTTGACATGTTCAATGAGAAACAACTTTTACTATATAAAACTGCTGAAATATTCTATAAATTTTTTTAAAAAACTATTACTGCTAAATAGTTTAGACTATAATCAACTTTATAATACTAAAGGTATTATTAACCTTTTCCTTATCTAGTACTAAGATTATAAGCAAGAGAAAGAAAAGAATTTGGGAATTTGTCCTAAAAAATCAGCTTCTAGGTTTATCACTAGGTTATAGTTATTAAGTTGATAATGTATAGTTACAAACGAATTTCTGTATAATAAGCATAAAATACTAAAACTCTATAACAAAGATTTAAAACTTCATCCACAGTACAAAGACAAGAAAATACAACAGTTGGGATGTGGTGGCTCATGCCTGTGATCCCAGCATTTTGGGAGGCCAAGGCAGAAGGATCTCTTGAACCCAGGAGTTTGAGACCAACCTAAGCAACAGAGCAAGACCTCATTTCTACAAATTAAAAAAAAATTTAATAGCTGAACATGGTGGCACATGCCTGTAGCCCCAGCTATTTGAAAGGCTGAGGCAGAAGGATTGCCTGAACCCAGGAAGTCGAGGCTGCGGTGACCTGTGATTGGGCCACTGCACTCCAGCTTGCCTAACTGATTGAGACCCTGACTGAAAAAAAAAAAAAAAAGACAACAGACCGCTGCCATCCATGACATTCACCCATAAATGCTTATGGATTCTAGTTGCATTCTTACTAAGGTTACCCTCAGTTGCAGGAAGAGAAAAAAAAAACCTGGATAAACAAATATATCCATCAACTAGGTGGCCTCACCAGCTAAATGAATAACTAAAATAACATCTTGAAATTTCTACATATTATGAACCTCCTGAGTTACAGGCAACAAACTTAACCCACAAATCTTAAGTCTGTGAATGCACAGAAACAGCACAGGACTGTCTCTAGGCCATATAGTACACAGTGCAAATTAGAAACTGCATTAGCCCAGGGTCCTTCCAGCCCAAACAGCCCTTTGTGCATTTAGAAAAACATGCAGCTATATGAATGCTGCTTGAGGTCACACATCTTGGTGAGTAAAGCTCAGTGAATTTGAGTTCCCGTTCTACCCTACTCCTATATTGTACAACTGCAAGTGACTGCTCTGTATTGGACACTAACATATATCCAAAACATTCCATTTCTGGTATTTGTTTCTCAAATTGTGTTTCTGAGTCACTTGTACCTGAGTAAGCTATGACATATACTAAAAATGCAGCTAAGCCAGGCTCGGTGGCTCAGCCTGTAATCCCGCGTCTTTGGGAGGCTGAGGTGAGTGGATTGCCTGAGCCCGCAGGTTCGAGACCCGCCTGGGCAGCGAGACCTCATCTCTACAATAAATCAAAAAATTAGCCGGGCGTGGTAGCATGCGCCTGTAGTTCCAGCTACTTGGAAGGCTGAGGTGGAAGGATTGCCGGAGCCCAGCAGGTCGAGGCTGCGGTGGCCGGGAGCGGCCACTGCACTCCAGTCTGGTCGACAGAGTGAGACTCCAACTCAAAAAAAAAGTAAAAATAAAAATAAAAATGCAGCTGCCTGGGTCTCAGCCTAGAACTCCTATGTATCTGAAGACAGAGACTAGAAATTGCATTTTATGTACTTCTCATGCATATTAAAGTTTAAAACCACAATCAGTATAATGAAGGTATTTACCCAACAGCTTTTGTCTTTTATTTTTTGAAGAAAGTAATAACATTCTTGAAAGTCTACAAAACTACTTACTGGATCCATCAAAAACACTCGAGAAGCTGCAGAAAGATTCAAACCAACTCCACCTGCTTTTAAGGACAAAAGCATTATAGTTGGAGATCCTGCTTCAGTGTTTTGAAAACACTGAATTGATTCAACTCTTTTCTTTTGGGCCATGGAACCATCCAAACGAGTAAACACAAATCCAGAGGCTCTAATGTGGGTACAAAAAAAGACACAGTATTATTATAAAAATAATATATTGTTTTTTAAAAAAAAGTAATTACAAATCTCTTCAATCAATTCTTCACTCATTTATTTTAACAAATGTTTACTGAGCCAGACACTGCAGTCAATTATTTTCTGATAAATTCAAGACTTAATATTTAATATCCTATGCTGTCAAGAAATGGTCTCTATTGTGACTCCAAATATATTTTAGACATATGAAATAACTAAAGCGGCTAAAACATACAGGTTTTTTTGCTATACAAATCAATACTTACATAAAGTCCTTTAACTGAAAGTGAAAAACACTGTTGAACTTACTTAAGTGGTGTTTCTATTAAAGACAGGAATGTTGTAAACTGAGAAACAACTAAGCTTTTTATGTTGGGATTCTTCTTTCTTAAGTCAATTAATGCATGCATTAGAGCATTAATCTGAAAAAAAATCAAAATGCCCATTAGATTCCATTTTCAATTGATAAAATAAGAGTGCAATTTCTTATTATAGACAGGTCCTGCCATGTTATTTCCCTAAAATGCAAGCATGAAAGACTACTATTTTTTAAAAAATGGAAAGAATATTATAATAATCTGAACCCATTCTCTCTCAAATTCACCACTAAAAATAAACAAATACCAACAGAGTGTAATATGCAAATGACAGGAATGAAAGCAGAATTACTCTCTTGATACAAGGCATATATTTCTTTATGTAAATGTAAAACAAATATTCAAATATTTCCACATGTGTACTTTACCTTTGAACTAGATGTCCATTCTGTATTAGACTCTTTCTCACCATCGTATGCCAATTCTTCTGGAGGACATTCTAACAAATTGTCTCCATGTATATCATTTCTGCATAAAGGGCATTTAGCATGTGGCTACATAAGAAAGAGCAAAGTCTGAACAACATTTATCAGAGGAACAGAAATATAAATTTGCCTATAACTTTTTAAATATATGGTAAATTCTTTATCTCTTATAGGTAATGTTTTATTCAATATTTTATTAGACTCATCTATGTGACATAAATTCATACATGTTGACCTCCAGACAGTGTTCTAATGTGGCAGGTAGAATGAAGCAAAAGTATGTTATCTTGATTAGCTAGCAGCAAGAGCTTCAAGCTAAATATAATACCATAGGTAGGCAAGTAAAAAAAGACAATTTCTTGAACCTAAATAAAAGAACACACTACTTAGAACTATTCTTTGAAAAAAAAAAAATCCTTCTAATGGCTTATAAACCTATTAGCTCATAAAGCTTATAATAGCTTATAAAGCTACCAGGATCTGTTAAATCCTATCGGGTTCATTCAAAGTTGCATCTGTCGTATCCATTTGTACCAAGACCTGCTAATAAAATAAGATTACATCTTAAATAACTAGACATCAAACACCATTACAATAAAAAAGATTCTGAAGCTAAAACAGTTTAGAAGACAGTACAGTGGGTTACCTTTCAGGAAGAAGGAGAGGATAAATGACTGGGAGGGGCCACAAGGTAGTAGATGCAGGAATGTGCTTACTGCATGATAGTTCACTGAGCAGTACAATTAGGAATCTGTGCATTTTTTTCTACATTTATGTTATATATAAATTTAAAATGTTAAAAAATATTCAAAAGCTACTTGAAGTATTATTCCATTTCAAAAAAATTCTACCACACAAAAGCATCTAGACCTACCTTATCCAATACAATAGCCAATAGCTACAAAGGGCAATTAAGTCCTTTAAATGTGGCTAAACCAAAGTGAAGTATGCTGTAAAAATATAGTACCACCGAATATTGAAGGCTTCATTTTTAAAAAGCAAGCATCTACCCAGTTTGGTGGCTCATGGCTGGAATTCTAGCACTTTGGGAGGTCGAGGTAAGAAGATTACGTGAGCCCACAGGTTTGAGACCAGCTGGGCAACTTGGCCAGACCTCATCTCTACAATAAATCAAAACATAGCCAGGTGTCATGGTGCATGCCTGTAGTTCCAGCTACTTGGGCTGAGGTGGAAGGATCACCTAAGCCTAGCAGGTCAAAGCTGCAGTGGCTGTGAACATGCCACTGCACTCCAGCCTGGCCAAGAGAGTGAAACTCCAACACAAAAAATATAAAAAAAAAAAAAAAAAAAAAAAGCAAGCATCACATTAATACTTTTTATATTTTAGATATATTAGGTGAAATAAAATTCATTATTAAAAACATCTTCATGTTTCTTTTTATTTTTAAAAAATACAACAACTAAAAAAAATCAAAATTACCTTTGTGTCTCACATTATCAATCTATTTATTGGACAGCAATGCTCTAAACAGTTAGTGAAATTAAGATACTGACTATGAAAAAGTACCTCCAAAATATAACATCTTCTTATGTTAAAAGTGCTTAATTATGAGAAATAACTCTGGAATAACCATAAAAAGTACATTATTAAATCCAAGTACAAAAACTCCATATCCCCTCTTGGAGTTGGGTTTTCATTACACTAAAGACAGGCGCACCACTCCATCAAAGGTTGAACCTATACTGAGCACAAAACTGACCTGCTCATTCTGAATGACTTGGCAAATACAGGGTTTACAAAATACATGTGCACAATGTGTTATCACAGGAACTGTTAGAGAATCCAAGCAAATTGCACATTCTTCATCTGAACCTGAGCTCAGAATTAACTTCATCTTTCTTATTAACTTCTTTCTTAGTTCTTCAGGTGTATCATTTCCTAGAGAAAAGGCTGAAAAATTAATTTCAGAGCAAGATTTGAAATATGACTAGACAAGTTAATCTACCTTATATAAGGAAAAGTTTTGCTTGCTGGTAGGGGTAGTCTTTCCTTTTTTTCTAATCTAGACAAAAATATAATTTCAGTTTGAAATTTTAAGAAAAATCCAGAAGCCAAAATAGTAGTCAACTCACATAAAACACCTCATAGAGAAACATCACTACAACATGATCTGCACATATTAGCACAGAATGAAAGGGAGAGCCAATATAAACCCTTCTCAAAGGGTCTATCACTGGAAATACTGGAAAGACCTCATTATAATTCCATTTCACTGGTAAAAAATTCTTGGATATATTCCCAGTTGTGCTCTACACTAAAAACAATATCCATTTGACAGAATAAAATAGCAAACTAAATTTAGGACACATACAAAATCTTTCATTCTGACTTAAATATCTCTAACAAATTTAATGGTATGAACCAATGACATGTACTTACCTGAGGGACCACTGGAAGACACTGCATTTGTAAGAAGATGGGTATGACAACAGATCTGCCGCAACCTAAGCAAAAGACCCAGGACATCTGCATAGTGGGCAAGGACAGTCCCTTCATTAAAATACCTAGAGACAAGATCGTCAAAAATTATTAAGTCCTCTAAACAATAATTTCCTATTCTAAGCATAGTAAAATGGCATTGTTTTCTTCTCTGGAAATCACTCCAAAACAAGAATGAAAACCAGAAAAGTAAACACTGTCTTTAATGAAACTAAGTGAGATTTGTAACAATAAAGTACAATATACAAGAAAAGGCTGTCAAGTACAGTAAAAATCAGGTGGGAAGATGTTGAGAGATAGGACCGCAGCTCTCAAACAGACCTGCCAGAGCACAGTTTTTCAAAATGACGGTATGTACTGATGGAAAAATCAACATCTCTCACGTGCAAGAACAGAAATAGGGTGCATGCCTGGTGACTTGGGCATCCCTGGACAATGTTACACCAAATAGGAGGGAAGGTAAACTGAGTAAGGAAAAATACAGATGCACTATTTTCAAAGATTATGGGCACAGCATTCTATACTAGAAGTATCCCTAAAACTTCTGATCTGTGTTTCACGTGCACTAATAAATGAAAGCCACTCTAAACCCAACATAAAAAAGACTAGCCACTGATTTAAAAAAAAAAAAACCCACTAAGAAAGGATGTAGGAAATAGGATTGAGAAAATCAAAATTAAACAGAAAAATGTAGAGGAGTAGAAATAAAATGACACCTATGGAAAACAGACAAAAAATATCTAACGTACACAGAGAAATAAGATAATGGAACAGAAAAGAATATTTAAAGAAAGCTTTCCAGGAAAGAAGGGGAAAAAAGACCTGAAATCCCAAGATTTAAACAGTACCCATTTCCCAGAAAAGTCAACAAAGGTTCTGGTCAAAGTTCTAGATATTAGAGAGATTTAAAAAAATAATAATAAAATTCAGGCTTCTCCACAGAAACATGCAATACAAAATACTGTGGTAAAATGAAAATATAGATTCTGAAGGAAAAGAATGGGTGATCCAAAAATTATTTAAACAGGCAGTCAGATATTTAAGTATTTTAAGGTGGCAGATGAAATATAGCCTAATATGCAAGATTTTTAGAGAGAGATGACCATGAATTCAAAACCTGGCTCTACTTCCAATGTAGCTACGTAATCTTGGACAGGATGCTTAACTAGTGTCTTGAGCTTTCTTAGTTGTAACAGTGGCACAGAAAAAGTACCTACCTCATAGCACTGTTATAGTTAAAAAGTTAACACAAGCATTTAAAACAGTGCCTGAAGGCCGGGTTCAGTGGCTCAGCCTGTAATCCCAGCACTTTCGGAGGCCGAGGAGTGTGGATTGCCTGAGCCTGTGGGTTTGAGACCAGCCCAGGCAACTTGGCGAGACCTCATCTCTACAATAAATAAAAAATTAGCTGGGCATGGTAGTGTGTGCCTGTGGTTCCGGTTACTTGGAAGGCTGAGGCGGAAGGATCGCCTGAGCCCAGCAGGTCGATTCCAGTCTGGGCGATGAAGTGAGACTCCAACTCCAAAAAATAATAAATAAATAAATAAATAAATAAAATAGTGCCTTGACCATGGTTAAGTGCTACATATGAATCTCCTGCTAGTATCAGTAATAGTAGTATTACAGCACAAACACTTCTGAATATTCAAGAATGCAAGAAATAGCAAAGGTTAAACTTAAGAAAGCTCTAGAACCAATCTGCCAGAGTTTAAATACCAGCTCTGTCATTCACTAACTGCGTGAAACAGCATAAATTACCTAACAGCTCTCTGCCCCAACTTCCTCATTTATAAGATGTGGATAAATCATTATACTGACTTATTAGGATTACTGTGAACTAAGACATTTAAACACTTAGATCAATGCATAACACCTAGTAAGTACCTAATAAATATTAGTAAATGTATCCTATTAAAAAGAATACTTTTAAAATAATGTATTTCTTTTCTGAGAACACAGTTTCAATAAAGTTATTTTTTCAACTTCTTCAAAGAGAATAACCTTTACTAACACTCTAATCCCTGGCAAGGTCACAGTTTACTGATGCTTAGCATTTCAGTTTCGGAGATGTCTTTTGAGTGTCTACCATGTGCCAAATATTATTGTAGAGGCTTCCTCCTATTTCACCAGCGCTTCCTGTCCTTTCTTCTTTTACTTTATTCACTCCCTTAGTGATCTAATTCAGAGTCATGGTTTCAATTATCATCTACATATTTGTGTATTTCAAACTTATATATCAAACCAAGAACACTACTATGAACTCTACTCTCCTATCCAACTGACTATTTGACATCTCCACTTGGACATTACATAGGTGTCTCATGATCGATGTGTTCAAAACTGAGCTTCTGATCTTACCAGAAAAAAACTGCTCCTCTCACAGACTTAGCTCTGTAAATGGCAATTCCATCCTTCCAGGTGAAAAACCCAGGCATTATCTTTGATTCACTCTTCTCTCTCTCACACCACATAGGTATCAACCAGCAGGTTCTGCTGGTTCAACCTTCAAAATTATAACAGAATCCAGCCAGTTCCATCACTATTACTATGGTAAAAACCACCATCATCTCTTACTTTGCACTGGTTTCCCTACTGATGACCTTATTCCAACAATCAAAATCTGAACACAGCAGCCAGAGTGATCCTTTTCAAATGTAAATCAGATGTCATTCTCCTGGCTCAAAACCCTATAGGGTTTCTTATCTCATAAAAAGCAAAAGCCAAAGTTCTTAAAATATGCCATAATGCCTTACACACTCAACATTCACCCTCGCTCCAATATCTTGACTATTTTCCTTTTTATTCGTATTATCCAGCCGCACCTACCTCTTTGTTCTTGGAACTCACCAGGCATGCTCCCAACTGGGGCTTTTATATTTGCCATTCCCTCTGCCTGAAACACACCTCAGTCCCAATTTCCTTTAGATCTCTGTCACATATCATCTTCTCAGTGAGGTCATCCCTGAATACCCTATTAAAAACATCTGCAGCACTCCTCTCCTTTGTTTTTTGTTTTCATAAAACTTAATTGTTTTGAAGTTGTCTTGTTTCTTCCCATTAAAATGTACACTCCTTGAGAGCAGAAATTTTTGTCTGTTTTATTCTGGTATATCCCATTAGGTATAAGTAAGTGCCTGGCACACAGTGAGCACTTAATACATTTTGGCTGAAAGAATAAATATGAGAAACTAAGATTCCGAATGCAGAAATCTGCTTAAAACAATCTTTCCCAATCTCTTTTCATTTCTACCAAACTCGCTTCGTGCCCACCTCACTGAAATTGTATGTTTTGATGATGCCTTTATTTTCACAGACCTGATCTGCTTTCACTTGTCTCCTAGTCATTCTGGTCCCTTTGGGCATTCACACCAAACATGCTCTACCTTGGATTAGAATTTGTCACCTTCTACCAATTCTAATCTTTTAAAATCTACATCATAAATTCCTAATCCCAAATTTCCACATGATGTTGGAAACATAAGCAAGGTCTTCTGACTAGTAACTGAAAACTTGCCAATTTATGTAGACTTAATTTTCCTAATTTAAGGAATTACTTACCTGGTGAATTATGTTATCATTTCATTTATTTCAACTATTAGCTCATAAAAAATACTGTAAATCACAGAAGCAAATTATCTTTCAATATACTTCAGACTTTATTGCTAACATGTCAAAGAGTATTATTCACCCTTTCATTCAAAAAGTGTTAATGGGAAGCAAAGAAAGAAAACAGAAATTATATTCTGACAAGGCTTTCCTTCTCCATACCTTCCAATAGTAGCTCTGCCTTCATTTTTCACAGACTGATAAATCTTTCTCTCTTCATCTGAAAGTGTAATGTGCTGAATAAATACTTTGCGTTCAGGTAACTCCAAAACAGGTTTTCCTTTAATTTTGCTTGTCTTTGTTCTTCTAAGTGTAATATTTTTAATTAGGGACTGTAAACGCCTGGCCAGAATAAAACAAGTATTTATAAAACCTTTTAGTTCTATATAAATTGATCCAACATGAACAAAAAATAATATTTTAATTTGTTATTATTTTAGCCTTTGTCAAGAGTTTTAAAATAATCCCATTTGGGGTTTTGTCCAATCTGATAATCACAGCCATATTCTACAAATAGAAAATTATTACAACAAAGGCAGTGAAATTTCTACTCAACTCAATACTTATCACAATTTAATCGTATATTCTGTCCTTACTTTCTTAGTCTTCTCATTTTTATCCTAATCAATAACCCTTTTACTTCTCAGTTGTCCTGTCAACTACATCACCCAATAGTCAACACACAAATTCTTACTAAGCACCTATTAAATGCAAGGTAATATATTAAAAGTTTTAAGAATACAAATATGAATAAGATCCTATCTTCTGTAATATGAAAGTAAAAAGTACATAAATAAGTGATTTGTGGTAGTAAGTGCTCCCAAAATAAAAACAGAAGAGGGAGAAATGCCTTCTAGGTTCTATAATCTTTACATTTCCTTCTCAGTATCAGAAAAAAAGAGGCATATAAATTCTTTAAAAAAAGGTTTTTCCTAACACTGAAGTATAAATACAATTTTTTTGAGTCTGGGTCTTACTCTGTCACTCAGGCTGCCATGCAGTGGCATGATCGAGGCTCACTGCACCCTCAACGTCCTGGGCTCAGGTGATCCTCCCACCTCATCCTCCTCGGTAGCTGAGACTATAGGTACTCCATCATGCCTAGCTAGTTTTTTTCATTTTTATATTGCCCAGGCTGGTCTCGAAGTCCTTGCCTCAAACAATCCTCTCGCCTTGATCTCCCAAAATGCTGGGATTACAGGTGTGAGACACTGAGCCCAGCTATAAATACAATTTCTTAACTTGGCATTTAAGTAGTTGGTTCTGAGGAATCAAGTGGACAGTACTACCAATTAGGTTAGCAGTTTTTGAACCTTTTTCACTATAACCCATAGTAAAAAATACATTTTATTCTATCCAGCAAACAAATACAAATAAGAGATACAGATATTTCAAAAACAATACACACAAGGCATGGTGCACTCTGATATTTATCTCTCTCTATTTCAAATTTTCTTTTTTAATGCTGACTATCACCTTTATACTGATTTCACAACCTGCTAATGAATCCCAAATCCTCAATATAAAAACCACTGACAAAAAACTCGAACCACATCAGCTTAGCACCTTGAAAAACGGCTATCACCAAGTTGAGTTGAGTTTATTTTCTCAACTTTTATCTATCTCTACCAGAAACAGCCATATAAAACTTTTGTTGAGGCCACTGTACATCATGTCATTCAATCACCACTATATAAAGCTACATAAGGTAAGTTATGAAGATTTAATGCATATTGAATCACCAAAGGATATAAAGTTTTTCTTAGTACTGCTGTTATCTGTTAATGGTGGCTTTGGGGGTAATAGCAGCATACAAAGAATATAAGGCAGCCGGGCTCGGTGGCTCAGCCTGTAATCCCGCACCTTTGGGAGGCTGAGGTGAGTGGAATGCCTGAGCCTGCGGGTTCGAGACCCGCCTGGGCAGCGAGACCTCATCTTTCCAATAAATAAAAAAATCAGCCGGGCGTGGTAGCACGTGCCTGTAATTCCGGCTACTCGGAAGGCTGAGGCGGAAGGATCGCCGGAGCCCAGCGGGTCGAGGCTGTGGTGGCCGGGAGCGGCCACTGCACTCCAGTCTGGGCAACAGAGTGAGACTCCGACTCAAAAAAAAAAAAAAAAAAAAAAAAAAAGAATATAAGGCTCTGCCTTTCCTTTCAGCGTGGCTAAAATCAGGGAAAGAATTAGTTACTGATAATTAGAAATATTTGTCTTTCCAAACAAGAATGACTAGGTTGAAAGACAAAGGCATTGAGCTGTAAACACTTTCTGGAGAGGAAAAGCAAGAGTCAAGTTAAGCCAAGGGCGGTGGCTCCTGCATGTAATCCCAGCCCTTTGGGAGGCAGAGGCAGGAGGATCGCCTGAGGCCAAGGAGATCAAGACCAGCCTGGGCAACAAAGCAAGGTCCTGTCTCCACTAAAAAAACAGAAAAATTAGCCAGGCGTGGTAGCACATACCTATAGTCCCAGTTACTAGGGAGACTGAGGCAAGAGGATCACTTGATCCCAGGAATTAAAGGCTGCAGTGAGCCATGATCATTCCACTGCACTACAACATGCAGCCTGGGCAACAGAGTGAAATCATGTCTTAAAAAATAAAATAGTCAAGTTAAAAGAGTAATGAAAGTGACAACTGGTTCAAGCTGCTAACAAGTATCTGTAGCTAATATTAATCAGCTGTCTGAAATTACTTACCTAAGTCCTCCTTCATCTCCCATTGTGACAGGACGCTGTATTGTTCTGTGCCACCATTCTCTATCAATAAACGGTTTAAGTTTTAAAAAGGAAAGAAGAGACCACAAGTCCTTCAAAGAATTCTGGATTGGAGTACCTAAAAAATAATAGGAAACTGTTTTAACTCTTTAACAAGAGTACCCATTAAGAATATCTGGCCAAGCAGAATTTCAACCAACAGTTGAAAATGGGCACTCTGTAAAGGCATACCACTATCAAGCTGTGCCCATAATTTTTTGTTAAACATATATACATCTCAGAATACAATTCTGCTCTAATTTTTAGCTCTTACATGCCATACTAAAAAGAGAAAGGCTGTATTAAGTTCAACTTTCTCCTTGTTGAGTTCATTTGATCATTTTAAAAGTATTATTATTATTTTGTTTTATTTTTTATTTTAAAGATGTGGGGTACAATTCAGGATTAGGTAGGTAAGTGATCATCACACAGGTAAAGTCTGGGTCTCCCTTTGGTCCCCACTTTGCCTAGTTTGAGATCAAGTACCCTTACTGATTTTATATGTCCCCTGCCCCGCCCCAGCAGGGTTCCCCTACTGCCAATCCCTTTCTTTCAGTATTATGATAAATGTTCAGTGGCCGCTTATGAGTGAGACCATGTGGTATTCAGTTCTTTGTTTCTGTGATAGATCACTGAGTATTATAGACTCTAAATCCATCCAAGTTACTGTGAAATCCATAATTTTGTCCTTCTTTATGGTTGTGATCATTTGGTTTTTAAAGCAGCAGCACTAGCAAGAAGGAAAAAGCAACTAATTTAAGTTTATCTTTTCTTCCCCACCTTCCAGTAAAGGTAGCAAACAGGCTCAAAAATGGGCAACAGAAAAAATCAAGATTCTGACAGAAGGATTAGAAGGCCTCCTCAATCTCCATGGTTCAAGAAGTCTAGTGACTGTTCTATAACTTAAAATTCAAATGTTGTTATGTCATGGGCAATTATGAAAAACAAGTCAAAACATTTTATTAAATGAGTTATATGATTTTAGGACAGATTTTCTTTTTCTTTCTTTCTTTTTTTTTGAGTAGGAGTCTCACTCTCTTGCCCAGGCTGGAGTGTAGTGGCACACTCACAGCCACCACAGCCTTGACCTGCTGAACTCAGGTGATCCTTCCACCTCAGCCTTCCAAGTCGCTGGAACCACAGGCACACACCATCATGCCCAGCTAATTTTTTTGATTTATTGTAGAGACGAGGTCTCGCCAAGTTGCCCAGGCTGGTCTCAAACCCCTGGGCTCAGACAATCCTCTTGCCTCCACCTCCCACAGTACTGGAATTACAGGCGTGAGCCTCCATGCCTAGTTCCACAGATTTTCAATATCCATTCAAAGTTTACAAAGTTACCTAACTTATTTAATGACACATTTTGGAGAATTTTTTAAAAACTTTAATGCTATGATTACCTGTCAAAACCCATCTTCTTTCTGCTTCTAAATCAAGTACGGCTTTTGTCTGCTGAGCATTTGGATTTCGTATGGCATGTCCTTCATCCAGGATCACTCTTAGCCACCTTATGCTGTGTAATGGGCTATCACCTTTTGTCTGAAATAATCATTACATATGAATTTAAAAACACAAGAAAGTAAAATACTACTTAATTTGCTGAATAATAATGGCTGACATTGTTTTTTAATATCAACACTTACTATATGCTAGGCCCTGCTTTAAGTGCTATATACATTAAATTATTGAATACTCCAAAGTTTATAAAGAAAATTGAAGCACAGGGTGCTAAGCATGTTGGCCAAAGTACCACAGCCAGGAAGTGGCAGAGGTAGCACTCAAACCCAAGCAGTCTAGCTCTCTGCTCAGTCACTGTTTAATACATTGAACTATTCTGCCTCAGATTAAAACATAATGATGGCATAAAAATTGTCAGTTGAAAGAACTGCTTGGATATAACAGCACTACTTTCTTTTAAATAAAAGGTAACATTCTTATCAGAAGGTTGAAATTTTGATATTTTTCAAAAAGTTTTAACTGAACAACTGGAATTATACAGGTAGACAATAATTAGACTCCTAAACAAACTGAGAAACTCATGAATTATAGCTACCTAAAAAGTTTATTTTCAAACTGAGATAATCACATCACTGTGACAGAAAATAATTTTCCATATTAAAAAAATTCATTTACAAATTTCTTTATCTAGTTATAATCCAAATTTAAAAACATTCCTAAACTAGTATCTAAAGAAGGTGCAACCTTTTTATGCAGTGTTAAAAAAATTCCTATTTATTTTCTATACATTATTAAATATTTAAAAAGAAAAAAGGAAGAGTATAAAGTCTGAAGTTAGAAGACTTTAGAAACCTAGAGAATATTCACCCCACACACACACCTTTTATTGTATTTTAAAGATGTGGGGTATAAGTCAGGAGTAGGTACATAAGTAGTCTCCGTACAGGTGAAGTTCAGTCCTCCCGCTAACCCTCCCTTTGCCTAGTTTAGGATCAGGTATCCTTAGTGATGTTATATGCCCCCCAGAAACCTGGAGAATATTTCTTAATTCAGCCTTAAAAAACCTCTTAAGCATCAGCATACTTACTCCATAGTCGTGAGTTAAAATATTGTACGTTGTCAAAACAATATCCTGTTTTGAAAGCAAGGCTGGGTCTCTAATACGATCAGGACCATAATAAACATAAAAATTCAAGTGTACTTCTGATTTTATATGTTGTCCAAACTGGTCCTAAAAAAAAAAATTAGAAATATTTTTAAAAATAAGCACATTAGTGTCAGGCTTAATATGTATATAAAAAGTAACTGTCCTGGCAGTAATGTGACAAATTAACGCTTTGCACCTGGAAACATCTTGTGGATCACCTACCAGCAACTTGACCACACTGTTTTACAAAATAGTAAAAACAAATCACTTCATATTAAATAGTATAGTCTTGGAACCAACAATTTTACTATAATGATATTTGGTTTATAATGGAATTTTGAACATTGAGGAACTTATGAAAAAAATAAAAATTTTATATCTTATATTTTTCTAATGTGTGAAACAGTTGTTGACATGCATTGAAGGTTCATTGATACATGTGCGATAGCAATTTGTTTGATGTCTTCTACCTGGTGTTTTTCTATCTGAGCAGACAATGCAGTCCTGTTTTCTTCCTCCCACATCAGTAATATGTAATTTATTGCTAAATCTGTGTACCACTGTGAAAGCATTTCACATTCTCTTTCTACATTAACACCAACTTTTTTTTAAATGTGTATCTCAGAATATATTTCATCTCTTTATTTGCTTTTTCGTTCAATTTAAATGGAAAACTTTAAGGAAACATACATTTTTGGAATGTTTGTCCTGTGTAAGTTTGTCCTGTATAATCACCAGCCATCTCTTTATGTCCCTTAAGAGGAATGGTTTGCTAGATTTATGATGTCCTCCCCTCAGATGGGTTAGGGGTTAAACTACCAAACTTTCATGAAATCAAAGTTTCCTGCCATCTAAATTAAAATAACAATAATAATAATGATAAAAACACTACTTATTATATTGTCAGGAAAGATGACACATACCCAGCAATAATAATATATTATAAAATTTTTGCTTGGCCCTATCCATGAATAGTCATTCATATTTAGGAGAAAACAAACCACCTAACTTCTTTAAAACAGTAATTAATTTTATAAAAATGTAATATTTTTAATCAAAAGGCTCTATAATGCTCCCAAGAAGTTAAAAGAACTTAATAATACCAGGATTGAGTAGTAAAATAACAGCAATCAACTTTTTCAAGGATGTAGGTGAGATTCAAGCATTGCACCCATTTTCATTAATTTATTACTGCCCTGCTATTTGCCAGGTATCAATCACGAGAGTGGTGCAGCTAAAAGGGAAAAACAAAAAATCATCCCTGACCTTCCTGAGGACATATTTTTAAAATTTATTTTTTTTTAAATCATGAAAACAATAGACCTGGGAGATTTTGAGCAGAGAAAATACCATGGTTAGAATGGAGACAAAACACCAGGGAGACACAGCTGGGCAGCTATTAGAAGAGATATGATGAAGCCTTAGACCAGAATGGCAGAAGTAAAAACAGAATGGAAGGATCAGGTGTGAAAGACAGATATTAAGGAGGAGGACTAATAGGACCTGGGGACTAATTAAAAATAAGGGCTGTAAGGAAAAGGGAAAAGACAAAGATGCCCTGATACTTCAAATGACTGCCTAGAATTATGCAACAAAGGTACATGGAAGTTTTTAAAAAGCGGAAAGCAGGCATAAAGGTGAGAAAGAGAAAATGAGTATTTTAGACATTTTTGGTCACTACAGAACACCTGACTGAAGACGTATACTAGGAAAATGTAGACAATTACCTATCCATGCAAATGAGGTGCAGATATAAATTTTAATGCTAACAGCAGACAGTACGTAAAGCCATAGGAATAAACAAGATTTCCTAAGGAGAACAAACACAATGAGGAAAGGCCAGGGACAGAGCCTACAGAGTATCAATATCCAAAGAGAAGGCTTATGCTTTTATTTGGAGAAACACCATGATGTCTGGGATATAATTAAAAATATTCCAGCAAAAAAAAAAGGGCATGTGGCACACTTCTAGCAATTCTTGAATCTTGATGAATAAATGGAAAAGAGCAATAAATTCATTACACACTCAGGGCAGAGGAAAAGAAAAGGGGAGCTCACTGGACATGAAACAATAAAGTCTGAAGGGCTTTGCAAAAGGAGTTTCCATAGTGAATAGGAGCAAAACCCAGACTATTTTGGACTGAAGAGAAAATTAAACATGAAATAGTAAAAGCAAAAATGTAGAGAAGAGAGGATTACATTTAAAATAGCAAAGGTAAAAACGCAAATAATTTTTTCAAGAAATTTGGCAGAAAAGATTAGAATCCAGCATGAGAAAGCATCCAACATGAGAAAACTGAATCAACAGTTGGCCCTGAAATGGAACAGAGCATGTCCATGAAAGGATTAAACTTAGAATACAAGAAAATAAACTTTTCTGGAGAAAGAGAACTATAGTTACTGCATTTCCACACAATGTGTTAGGCCATAATGTGTATGTGTGTGTATGAGTGTGTGTATACATATATCTCCTGACAACAGAAAATGGAATAGGTGCTATTTCATGAGAGGTTAAATGACTTGTCTAAATATCCAAAACAAGTATGTGGTGAAATGTGATTGGTACGCAGGCCTCACTCCTTTAACTGAATTCCTTTCCTTATTCAAAGACAAAAAAGAGGAGTTAGTTCCAGTCTGCTCTTTAGACTACTGGGCCATTTACTTAGAGGCTAGAAAGAAAATAGCTTGTTGAGAGATTATAGAATTCTAATTCTTGACCATGAACCCCAATATGCCAAACCATCCCTCCTTTTAAAATCAGTTTATGCATGACCTCATGACAGAGCTAGAAGGAAGACACTGAATGACCAAATAAGGAAAAAAGAACAGATAAAGCAAAAGTGGGAAAAAATGGAATCCAACGTACAGACTAAGATATTGGTCTTAAAGAATAGGACCTCTTCCTCCACTGAGATAAGAAGAATGGGCAGGAGAGATACAGATAACCTCAGCAATGGCAAAAATGGAAGTTCAAATCCAGCGGCCCTTATGTTCACAGTGCTTCCAAGAGAGTCACTATTTCATTGTAATGAGAAGCTTGAAGCTTAAACTAGAAAAAAAAAAACCAACCAGAACTAGGCTGCTCTTTATATAACACATAAAGAGGTTCCATTCCAATGTTAATGTTATAGAACAAAAAAGCAATCTGGGGGGAAAAAAAACCAAAATCTTCTGGTGTGTAGTCTTTTTAAAACCATAAGCTCTAAAGTCAAAATGTAGAAACTGTATCCTAGATCCATCATTTATTAGCTAGATGACCTTAAGTATCAATTTGGTCACCTGGAAAATGAGAGTAATAGTTGTGAGGAAAGTCTTTTTAAAAAGAGATTAAAGACAAGTACAAAGAAATTCACTATGTGTTATCATTGTAATAAAAGTAAGTTATTGCTAGTGAATTTCTTAGAAAAGGGAATGGCTCAGCCTGTAATCCCAGCACTTTGGGAGACCCAGGCGAATGGACTGCCTGAGCCTGCGGGTTCGAGACCAGCCCTGGCAACTTAGCAAGACCTTGTCCTTACAATAAAATAAAATAAAATAAATTAGTTGGGTATGGTAGCGCACGCCTGTAGTTCTGGCTACTTGGAAGGCTGAGGCGGAAAGATCACTGGAACCCAGGTCGACACTGGTGTGGCCGTGAGCATGCCACAGCACTCCAGTCTGGGCGATGGAATGAGACTCCAACTCAAAAAAAAAAAAAAAAAAGAAAAGGGAGTTCAGTCAGTAAATATGTAGGCTTAACCAGTATATGCCTTTCCCATTTGGGGGGCAAAAGCGGCAGAGACAGAAATATAAATTAAATCTTACATTAGCAATTGATGGTGTTTCTTTACTTCTTTACTATAAATCTTCAAAAAATATTATTTCAGGCCAGGTGCAGTGGCTCACACTTATAATCCCAGCACTTTGGGAGGCTGAGATGAGAGGACTGCCTGAGCCCACAGGTTTGGGCAACTTGGCAAGACCTCATCTTTACAATAAATCAAAAAATTAGCTGGGTGTGTTGGCATATGCCTATTATTCCAGCTACTTGGAAGGCTGAGGCAGAAGGATCACCTGAGCCCTGCAGGTCGAGGCTGTAGTAGCCGTGAGTATGCCACTGCATTCCAGCCTGGGCTCAACAGAGTGAGACTCCAACTCAAAAAAAAAAAAAAAAAATTACTTCAATTCAGCAAATACAATCCCAATTCACCTAACAATTATCTTGAACCTAGATACAAAATGATGACCAAGCATATTTCTTTAACATACTTATTTAACAGAATACTTTTAAATGATTGATTTAAAAGAATGATTCTTTAACAGAATACTTGTTCATTTTTGTAGGGCAAATATAAATTATATTACATTTTAAATGGCTTTAAAAACTTACAATCCAGTTGCTCAGTACAGAAAGTGGACAGATGATGAGTGTTGTTCTTGGTCTCTCCTCAACATCAGTTTTCTTTGAACCCTCTACCGCAGATGCTCCTAAAAAAAAAAAAACCCACATCATTGACACAGCCTTTAGCTGTTTTTGCCTGAAATACACACGTCAATAAGGAAATGACAATAATATGTCCATGAAAACAGAAATTAAGAAAATTTAAAGTGAAGGAGATGGATTTCTTATTCCAATTATGATAAAGCAACAGGAATTGGATCTTACCTTGTGCTAAAAAAACTAAAAACCCAGATAGTGATCATTTGTGGGAAAAGACAGAGGATGGTGACAAGGAGGGGGCACAAGAAAAAAGCCTGTAAACAGCTTCTAATATTCACATCATTCATTAAGATGAACATCTATTTTATGCAGTTTTCTGAATTTGTATTAGAATTCATGTGGTAGCCATTCCAAGATGAACCCAATGCTCTCCACTTCCTGATATTCACAACCTTGTGTAATACCTTCCCACACTCCACCAGGATTGGTCTGTGGCAGAAAAAATGGTATATCACTTCTGAGATTAGGTTACAAAAGAAGTTTCCATATTGGGTGTGTGCATGCCCACCTCCTCTCTGATCACGTGGCTCTGGGAAGAGCCAGCTGCCATGTTCTGAGTATTCTCAGACCGCTATGGATGGATACACATGGTAAAGACCTGAGGACTACACTTAACAGCGAGCAAGGAATGGGATCTGTTGACAGGTATGTGAGTGGGCTTGGAAATGGTTCCTAAGTCGAAGGTTCAAATGACTATAGCTCAGCACAGTTTGACTGCAGTCTCATCAGAGACCACTAGCCATAACCATCCAAGCCACTCTCAGCTTCTTAACCTTGACAGAATGGGTGAGATAATGAATGAATAATTTTAAATGGCTAAGTTTCAGAATAATTTGTTACACAGTAATGTAATAGATAACTAATATATTTACAACAAAAATGTTTGATATTTCCATGAGGAACATGTTTTAAAATAATAAAATTTTCTTAATTCTGGAAATAAAATCTAGCACTAATATTCCTTGCCAATGGATTATCTTCCCCAGTAAATTTAAAAGTTAAAGTGCAAATTCCTGGGTTTTAAAAAAATCCTGTTTTCAAATTAATTTCTTTCTTTCTCTTTTTGAGTTGGAGTCTCACTCTGTCACCCAGGCTGGAGTGCTGTAGCACACTCACAGCCAACCCAGCATCAACCTGCTAGGCTCCAGCGATCCTTCCACCTCAGCCTTCCAAGTAGCCAGACTATAGGCACGCTACCACACCCAGCTAATTTTTGATTTATTGTAAAGACAAGGTCTCGCCAAGCTGCCCAGGCTGGTCTCAAACCATGGGCTCAGACAATCTACTTGCCTTGGCCTCCCAGAGTGCTGGGATTACAGGCAGAGCCACCAAACCTGGCCTTCATACTAATTTCAAAATTAAAACTCAAGGTGACCAAAGGTAAAATTGGTCTTTACTTATAAATAAAATTGAATGGAAGGTTTCGTAACTATTTTAGTTGATATAAGAAGAAAATAAGCCAGGCACAGTGGCTCACACCTGTAATCCCAGCACTCTGGGAGGCTGAGGCGAAAGGATTATCTGAGCCCAGGGATTCGAGACCAGTCTGGGCAACTTGGTGAGACCTTGTCTCTACAATAAATCAAAATATTAGCCAGGCATGGTGGCATGTGCCTGTGGTTATAGCTATGTGGAAGGCTGAGGCAAAAGAATCACCTGAACCCAGCAGGTCTAAGGCTGAGGTGGCCATGAGCATGCCACTGCACTCCAGCCTGGGCGACAGACGGAGACTCCAACTCAAAAAAAAAAAAGAAGAAAATAAATTCAGGTCAAAATGCCACTATGTTTGGGGTGATACAAAAGGCTTCATAAGACACCTTCGTCTTAACAAGAATAGATATTTGGTTTTCTTGAAAAAATATGAAATTAATAAACTATGTTCATTAAGCAAGTTACAAATTCCATGCCAATCTTTACCAAAAAGAGAATCACTGCACAAATCAGAATACATAACACTTGCAAAATTGTTGACAAATCTGTGCCAAGAAATCAGTTATCTAATATTGCTATTAAATTATATGGAGACCCATATCCACTGAAGCTGTTCCCAATGAAATGATAAAAATTATGAACAGATATTACTACTTTCCAACATTTCTGACAGAGGTGACCCCAAAAGTCTCAGAATAAACTCCTTCCTTTAAAACAGATGTTTCATCTGTAATCTCAACATGTTGGGAAGCCAAAGTGAGAGGGCTGCTTGAGCCCAGGAGTTCGAGACCAGTCTGGATGACATAGCAAGACCTCATCTCTACAAAAAAAAATTTTTAAGCAGGGCATGGTGGCGCGCATATGCAGTCCCAGCTCCTCGGAAGGCTGAGGCAGAAGGATCATCTGAGCCCAGAAGGTTGAGGCTGCAGTGAGCCATGGTCTCAAAATACACACACACACACACACACAAAAATTCTATTAGAATAGCTGGTTGGTGTGCTGAAATCTCAAACCAACTATAAATAAAGGCTACAGCAGAGATGCATGTTTCCCATATTTTAACAAGAATGCAAATACTGCACTAAATATTACTAATACCACGTTCTACTCAAGTCTCTCCAAGACTAATGAAAAGGAAAATATAGTATATTTACATTCTTGGTTTGTGATTACCTGACAGAGAGCTCTCATTGTGATTTTTAGAAAATCCTAAAGATATGGTACATGCCTATGTATTCAACAATTTATTGAGCTCTTATTATATACTAAATACTATTGTGGGGGCTGGGATACAGCAGTGAATAAAACAAAAATGCCTATATTTATGTAGTTTACACTCTAATGAGGAAGGCAGGCCATACATATCTACATAGATAGTAATGGCAGGTATAGTGGTAAGTACTAAGAAAAAATAATTCTGTGATATGGGTATAGAAATTGAAAGGTAGGGGAATAGATAAGAAAGGAAGGGGTAAGGAGAGTGTTGCTCCCTAAGGTGACAATTGATCAGAAATCTAAATAAAGTGAAGGAGCAAGGAAAGCATATATTCAGAATAAGTGGCCTGGAAACAGCAGTTCTTCAACAAACAGTTGCTAAAAGCTTGGAAATTCTATTTTTAATTGTCTTCATCATATAAACATAATAGTTTCATTCTAGGCCGGGTGTGGTGTCTCACACCTGTAATCTCAGCACTTTGGGAAGCAGAGGCGAGAGGATTGCCTGAGCTCAGGGGTTCAAGACCAGCCTGGGCAACTTGGCAAGACTTCATCTCTACAATAAATCAAAAAGTTAGCTGGGGGTGGTAGTGTGTGCCTGTGATTCCAGCTATGTGGGAGGCTGAAGCAAAAGGATCACCTGAGCCCAGGAGGTCGAGGTAGTGGTGGCTGTGAGCATGCCACTGCATTCCAGCCTTGGTGACAGAGACTCCTACTCAAAAAAAATAAGCTTAATTATAAATATCCTCATCCTGTACTATCTTTCAGTTTGTTAAACCAGAATGGCAACAAATTTCTAACAAAATGTTAAATTGTGCTGGGCGCAGTAGCTCAAGCACGTAATCCCAGCACTTTGGGGAGGTCGAGACAAGAGGATTGCCTAAATTCAAGGGTTCAAGACCAGCCTGGGCAACTTGGCAAGACTTTGTACCTACAATAAATAAAAAAATAAGCCATGCATGGTGGCACATGCCTGTAGTTCCAGCTACTTGGAAGGCTGAAACAGAAGAATCACCTAAGCCCAGCAGGTCAAGGCTACAGTGGCCATGAACATGCCACTGCATTCCAGCCTGGGCAACAGAGTGAAACTCCAACTCAGAAAAAAAGAAAGTTAAATTGTTGCTTAACATAAAGGTTAATTTTAGCAATGGAGACATATAATGTCATCAACATGAACTGCGACATTATGCTTATGCTATTTTTCTCTCAATCTGATAGTTTATTCATTCAGCAGACAGCTAATTTCCTTCAATACAGCACACCACACTAACTGGGAATAGTCAAAAATTCCAGCACAGTTTAAGACCCTTCAAGGTCTATAAATTGAGGAGGCTTCTCTTCCTGAGCAGTGACTATAGCTTAACTGGCTAATCTTTTAAATTCAGAGCTCTTTTTTATTTGAGTTGCACAAGAAATTCTGTAAAATACAAACATTTCTCTCTTTCCGGGAGTTCAACAGAGAGTAAATGTAACTTGAAGTCATGTTTACTCACTCATAATATCTGATCTTTTTTTCTCTATAGCCTGAAATGGTAATAGCTAATGCTACTTTCCTCAGCAGTCCAAAGCAGAAGTGATAAAAAGGAAAGTGTTACTAAAATTATAAGGAAAAATCAAAAGAACAGTGGACCACAACTTTTTTGGAAACACATCTATTATTTATAGTATCACACAAACTTAACTTATTAATATGTCAAACAAACAAAAAAACTGGAGAATACTTACAATGAACATTCATGTACTAGTCACCCATATAAATGTTTTCTTATGTTTGCTTCAGATTTATTTTCTTTATGAAAGAGAACATTTTGGCAAACTGAAGCTGTGTATCCTTACTCCGCATGTTTTTATAAATTTACTGTCTACTGTGCCCACACACAACATATACTTTTAAGTGACTTTAAACTCTACATAATAAAACATCATACTGACTGTATGTATCATTCTACAACTTGCTTTTTTTCCTCAGTGCTATATACAGTAGTTCCCCCTTATCCACTAGAGATATGTTCCAAGATCCCCAGGGAATGCCTGAAATCATGAAGAGTACTGAACCCTATATATGTTCTTTCTATTCATACCTTAATTTATAAATTAGGCAAACAGATTAGCAACAATAATTAATAATAAAACAGAACAATTATAATAGTGTATAATATACAGTTGACCCTTAAATAACAGGAGTTTGAACTGCGTGATTCACTTTTATGTGAATTTTTGTCATCTGAACATAGATTAAAAATACAGTATTCATGGGATGTAAAACCTACATATAAAAAAGGCCCTATTCCACAGGGCCAACTGTGGGACTTGAGCATGCATAGGTTTTGGTATACGCAGTGGGTCCTGGCACCAATCTCCCATATATACCAAGGAATGACTGTACTCTAATAAAAAGTTATGTGACTGTGTGTAATGTTATGTAAAAGTCATCTGCATCCCTCTCAAAATATTTTATTGTATATATTATTTTAGACTGAAACCACAGAAAGTGAAACAACAGATAAACTTGATCTTTATTAATATTTGTAGTTCTAGTGTATTTACTTTAATCAATGGATGGCATTAAACTGCATAAGTAGACTACAATTTATTTTCCATTCCATTGTTAAACAGTATTCATATTATATACAGTATTTCATTAAAATAATGCTACAATGAAAACCATTTTTTCATGTCTCCTTATATATATCTATAGGGTTCTAGGTAGTTTATCTTCAGCTTAGTTATATTTTTGTCTAATTGTTCTCTTTGGTAACTGACACCCCCAGCCACAGTATATGGGAGTTCCTGTTGCTACACAACCACGCCTATACTTGGCATTGTAAGATTCTTAAGTATTTGAAAATATGATAGGTTAGATGGTATCTCACTATTCCTTTAATGTGCATTTCCTTAATAATTAATGAGCCTGCATATCTTTTCCTATGTTTACTGCTTGTCTGGATTTTCTTTCTATGGACTGCATATTTATGTCCTTTGATTATTCTCTTATTGGGCAGTCTTTTTCTAATTGATTTGTAAGTTCTTACCTAGTCTAGATTCCAATCCCCTCTCAGTTATATTTATCACATATATCTTCTTCAGCCTTACCATTTTTTATGTTGTTTATGTTACATTTAGATGCACAGAAATGTAAAAACTCAAATTTTTTTTTAACCAAGGTCTCAATCTGTCGCCAAGGCCAGAGAGCAGTGGCATGGTCACCACTTACCACAGCCTCGACCTTCCGGGCTCAGGCAACCTTTCTGCCTCAGCCTCCTGAATAGCCAGGACTACAGACATTCACTACCATACCCGGCTAATTTTTTTTTTTTTTTTTTGTAGAGATGAGGTCTCACTTTGTTACCCAGGCTGGTCTTGAACTCCTGGGCTCAGGCAGTCCTCTCTCACCTTGGTTTCCCAAAGTGCAAGGATTACAGATTTAAGATAACCGCACACAGTCTCATTTAGTAGAATTTAATCAATCTTTTCCTTATGACTTTTTGTGTCTTACTAAAAAGATCACTGCCTACTACAAGGCCAAGCAGAATTATGGCTTCTGTCTTGACTCACAGATTTTTGTTTCCATGCCATCTCTCTTTCAGAGATATGTTAAGTTTGGTTACAACCAAAATAAGCTGGGCTTGGTGGCTCAGCCTGTAATTCTGTGCTTTGGGAGGCTGAGGTGAGTGGATTGTCTGAGCCCGTAGGTTCGAGACCTGCCTGGACAACTTGGTGAGACCTCATCTCTACAATAAGTCAAAAAATTAGCCGGGCATAGTAGTGCGTGCCTGTAGTTCCAGTTACTTGCAAGGCTGAGGAGGAAGGATTGCCAGAGCCCAGCAGGGCGAGGTTGCGGTGGCCGGGAGTGTGCCACTGCACTCCGGTCTGGGCGACAAAGTGAGACTCCAACTCAAAAAAAAAAAAAAATTAAACCAAAATAATACATAGCTACCACTGTTTAATTTTCTCTTTTATCACTGCTATACATCTGCAATAGAAGGGGCCTCTAGTGTAATTTAGGTATCTCAATGAAAAGTTTCACATTTCATTACAATTATTTTATTCTCTTTGTTGTAGTGGGAGACAGTCTTGCTCTGTTGCCAAGGCTTAAGTGCAATGGCACAACGATAGCTCACTGCAGCCTTGAACTCCTAGCTCAAGCAGTCCTCTAACCTCAGCCTCCCAAGTAGCTGAGACTACAGTGCATGTCACCTAACCCCGCTAAGTTACTTTTTTCTATGGAAACAGTATCTTGCTATGTTGCCCAAGCTGCTCTCAAACTCCTGGCCTCAAGCAATCCTCCAGCCTTGGCATCCCAAAGTACTGAAACAACAGGCATGAGCCATCATGCCCAGCCATTGCATTTCTTTAAATTTCCAAAATTACGGTAAAAAGTAATTCATCTTAAATGACTATATTTTCTATTACTAATTATCTGATGCTTAGACCAAAAGTTGGCTTTCTCAAGATTCTATGTTAGTTCAAATATCACCTTAAATAGGACCCTTCAAGACACTCTTTAAATTATCCAGTCGAGTGCGGTGTTTCAGACCTGTAATTCCAGCACTTTGGGAGGCCGAGGCGAGAGGACTGCCTGAACCCGCAGGTTCAAGATTAGCCTGGGCAACATGGTGAGACCTCATATCTACAATAAATCAAAAAAATTAGCCAAGCACGGTAGCGCATGCCCGTGGTTCCAACTACTTGGAAGGC